ACTATAATTTTTTTTTTTAATAGTGCTGTGGAAGCGTATTGAAGCGCATACGCGTCCCGAACAGTCCAGTGTTATTGACGCGTACGCGTCCCGAACAGTCCAGTGTTATTGACGCGTACGCGTCCCGAACAGTCCAGTGTTATTGACGCGTACGCGTCACTAACACCAGCCAATCTTTAATCTATCTATTATCCGACACAGTCTATTAAGATTCCAAACAGGGTTATTCATATCACAGCACAGTATGTAACCCTCTGAGCTAAGGGGGCTCTCGTGGCCTAGACGTTAAGGTTTACGCCCCTCATTCAAAGGTCCCGGGTTCGAAACCGGGTAGCGACCGAAACATTTTCCTTTCTAAAATTGTCTCCTTCCACCTCCTTTCCTGCTCTCCAACAATGTTCTGTCATCTTCTTTCGTCTCCACTTTCTGCCCCTACCCCCTCATTTCCTTTTCCCCCTATTCTGGGCTCCTTACTCTTTCTGCAGCCTTTCTACTGCTACTCCTTGGCTCCTTCTTACTACTATCTTTCAACCACACCCCTGATCTTCTGATGGGAAAGATCTATACCTAGCCTCCTCGGAGAAGGGTGCAAAATCTCGGAGGGCCCGTGTACAAGTTGCGAACGTTAAAGATACCTTGGTGGTCTAAAATTCAAAATTTCCTACCAACTGAAAAAGTTTAATGTGTCCCGCGCGCTCATATGACCTTATGCAGTTGCTAACGCCGTAAAACACTATTAGACCCCCAAAAATATGTCCAAAACTGGGTCCATGTTGGCGAAAAAGATTCGTAAAAATTGCATCAGATAAACGCTTTACGTTTCATTAACAGACATCTGATAATACAGCTGGCTCTGCCTGGTGCCTTGATCTACTTCTGTTCACAATTTTTTTTTAACCCGCCCAGGCAAGGTTAAAAACGGTATAAAAACGCCTGGTGCGGTTTCAAAAACAAGTTTAGTCGTTTAAACGAAACGCAGCTAGCAACAATGAAAGCCTTTCTCTCAATCTAAAGCATGTCTCACGGGTTTCCCTGACAGGATCACACGCCTGCACCTTTGCTGATAACGGTTTCTTCCAAAAATTTCATTCACATGTGACCAACGCGAAATCCGAGGTTGTATCAAAGATAATAGTATCTTTGGTTGTATTGCGAACTCTTCAGCGTAATTCGATTAAAGATTGCATGCATGTCACGGGACTTGCAAAAATAGTTTCTACATGCTCCGGGTCAAAAGTGGAATGAGGGACTCGGAGAGTGTGAGCATGCGTGTTTGTTTATTTGTCTGAGACGATTCTTTTTTTTTTCTTCAATGTTGATGCAGGGGTGCTCCAGTGGCGAAGTAAGTAGTGAATTTAGACTCAAGTAAGGTCAAGCAAGTGTCGGAGACACGGGGATCAAATGGGTGGTCACTGGGGTGTGTCCTCGAGCAAGTCACGACAACCCTACCTCAAAATACAGGACGCTGCACAGTGTGGCGACCGACAGTGGCATTGTTGTAAATTGCTATGTTAGTTGTGTAACAGTGTGTATTTAAGTATGTATTTATGCTTGTATTTCGGTATGTACGTATTTATAATTATGTATGTTTGCCATTGTAAACCAAAGTGCCCTTCTGGGACAAATAAAAGAGTAATTTATTTTATTATTTTATTATTTTTTACACCACCAACGACGCAATTTAGATTACTTTGGAGGCGGTCTTCCGATCCTGCCCATCGCTGAGGCGTCACTAAAAAAACAGTATGAAGTTGCAAAATTTTACAAAAGAGCTTAAAGAGGTTATAAATAGTACTGTTTCTATTCAAACCCCCTTTGAGATGGCTAAAAACCTGAATGTTACTACCAAGAAAACAACCTTGGCTTTAAATAATAATATAATAAGGAATTTACTAACAGAATTGTATTCTTTAAAAAAGAGAGTAACAAACATAAAAAAGAAGGAGGAGAGATAAGGACGACCGATGGTTAACAGGAAAGAAGGAACAAACCACACCAGAACACCGTACCCGCCAACCACCCTTGATTGTTGTTCACTTTGCTCCAAAACGAAAAGACTCACCAGGCATACTGTTTGACGTCATCCAAGCAGACTCGGACGACGTAGAGACAACACAGCAGAACCTTGAGGCTGATGTAGACGACGGAGATGTTGATTCCTGGGGAAGACAGACAAGAAAGACACTTCCGTCCTTATGTGTCATAAGCATGTTTGCACCCGCATACACTTCCATAAAAGTGTCCCCGGAAATCCGCGCATTAGTTCAGATGGCGCTGCAGTCTTTGTTTTGAAGCTCTCTTTCGTTTCTCAAGAAGAAGAAAACGAATAGCACAGTTTGTTAGTTTCACTTTTATTGTTTTTCACACAAGTAGGGTAACTCTGTTCGCAAAGTCCACACTTTTTCGAAGAAGACGCCACCGGATTTTGAGAACACTTTTAAAGTTGGCTCAAAGAGAGGAATGAACTATCTTGTTATGTACGATCTTTGGCCTAGTACGCACACCCGGGGTCTCCGACGTCCGTGGGGCCACTTGTTGGTCGCTGTGACGTCATGCGCGGAAGATAATAATAAAATATTATCGACTTGTTCTGAGAATGGGGGTTCAAAATTCCCCCCCCCCCTCCCAAGAAAAAAACACTCCTTTGACGTCATAAAAATCCCTCTCGAACTATAAACTTGATCAAACGTTTACAAAAGGCCACTCCCCGCTGCGCACATGAGAACATTTAACGGGAACAGGTGAACGTTTGATTTGTGTGTGTGGCTGGGTTGGGCGGG